GTGCTGGCACCCTCTGCCAGAGACTGGGGCCAGAGACTGGGGAGTCCCTTTGGGGGCTCAGGGTGCTGGCACCCTTTGTCAGGGCTGGGGGGTGCCCTTGGGGAGCTCTTTGGGGATGCCGACACCCTCTGCCAGGGTTCGGGGCAGCCCCCTGTGGGGGCATTTGGGCTCTGTGCTGGCCCTTTGCGGGTGCTGGTACCCAGGGCTGTGCCCCATGGACCCTCCTGCCCCCCGGCTGGGGCTCCCCCCTCCTCGCCAGCACCCTGGGGTCCCTCTGCCGGGGAGGGCTCCTGGTGCCCCCATCGTGTGCTCGGTGCCCCGTGGGACCCCAGGCTCCGCCATGGGGTGCTGCTGCAGCAGGCCCCGGGGAGGACGGTGGGGTGTTGCTGCTACAGTCGCACGCTGCCTGTAGGAGGGTGCCACAGGCGGAGGGAACCCCCGTCCTGCCCACGCACGGGGGTGCCGTAGTGAAGCCAGTGGGGTGCCCTTCGCTCTCGCCCGGGGCGTGACCGGGCGATGCTGCAGGCGGGGGGGTGCGCACCCCAAAACACTGTCTCGGGTCTCACTGGCGGCGGGGGCACGGTGCTGTGTTAGGCCTAAAAGCCACGCTCGTGCACCCGGTGGCGCCAACGGACCGCGCTGGGCGAGCGCCGAGGCGGCCGAGGGCTAGCGCAGAGATGCTGAGGGCTTCCCGTGGGTGCAGCCAAGAAACCCTGCCTTTTTTTTTTTTTTTCCTCTGTAAGCGGGTGGTGGTAATTTTTGCAGTCCTGACCCCTCTCTGCTCCCCCCCGCGCAGGCGAGAAGCCCTACAAATGCACCTGGGAAGGCTGCGCCTGGAAGTTCGCCCGCTCCGACGAGCTGACCCGGCACTTCCGCAAGCACACGGGCATCAAGCCCTTCCGCTGCTCGGACTGCGACCGCAGCTTCTCCCGCTCTGACCACCTGGCCCTTCACCGCCGGCGGCACATCATGATGTGAGGAGCCGAAGTCCCTGGGGCACCTGGCTGGGATGGGGGTGGAAAACGGGGGTGCAT